GCCTTGGGGAATACTCAGCAGCTACTTGCTTAGGAGGAGTCTGGCTTCCTGGGCAGTGGGACTGTGAGAAGGGGAGTGTCAACAAGTCCATAGGTATTCTGGGATCTTCATTGTAGAGGGGTACTTTCCAGAAGAGCAACACATACACATACACACACACACACACACACACACACACACTTTCCTCACCACTGCCAGCATCTCTGGGAGCTTACAGTGTACCAGAGGAAGCAAAATACACAGAGAGAATTCCCCTGCCCTGGATGTCCAGGGACTCCTTGGCAGCTCTGGGCTCTCTCTGAGTTTGTAGGAAACTAACCTGGTCTCGGATCCCCAATCAGCTTCACGTTATCTGGGTCCTTTAGGTGCACCAACCTGCAGGTGGAAGCCACCCCAATATTATGTCTGGGTTGATATACTATATGTCAACTATAATGTTATAGTCCAGAGCTCTTGGGAGTGACCCCTGCTTAGTGCAGGGCCAGTCCCCACCTTGCTTCCACACCTTCACCTTCTCATATCCATCTTTGTTCCCTGTCTGCCTTGGCTCTCACCTCTTTGCCAGGCTCCAACCCTGCTCACTTCTTCCTGCTTCAGTGCCTTGGAAGACCTCTAGCCTTTTCCCCCTCCTCTCAGACTCCCCAGTCAGCACTAGAAGTGAGTCCTAGGCCCTGACTGCCCTTGACCCCCGATGCTCTCTGGGCCCCAAGGACATGTGCACTGCCTTTGGAGTCTCTGTGTGACCCTCCTGGTCTTTCCCCTAGCCCCTCATTCCTCCCTGTCCTCTCTCCCCCGTCCCTATCCTTTATTCCAGGTATCCGTATGTCCCAAGAACCTGCTTCATAGGGAGCTGTGCTTCTTGCCTTATTTCCTTTGGGATGAACAAAACTGTCCTCACTGGGGGTCAAGATTAGCCACGGTGGATTCCTTTTAGGGCCCAATCTATTTCTCTTCTGTCCTCAGGGGCCTCAGTGCTCTGAGCCTGCATGTCTCCCTCCCTTTTCTGAGATCCTGGGACAGGGTCTCACCTGAGAAGGCCCTGAGCTCTCGGGAGGGCTCACTGCTTTCTCAACATAGTGCCAGCCTGAGGGCAAGGCCCTCCCTGTTGCACAAGAATGTGGAAATGGGCCTGGGAGAGTGAGCCCAGCCCCCAGCCTGGGGCCTAGAACCCTCACTTTGGCAGGAAGACTGGAACCAGCTCTGGGTACAGGGTTAGACCAGGATGCCTCCAGAAAAATAATAAAAGGGACTCTTGCAAAGCTCCAAGGAACAGATGTTTTCCATTTGGAGCCTGTAGAGAGAAAGCAGAGGGAAGGAGGCAGGGTAGTGAGGGAGCCCGGGAACCAAGAGAAGAAAACCAGAGACAGGAGAGAGAGGAGGTCAAGAGGTAGGCAGGGAGGATGGGGAGACGAGTAAAAAGAAGGGAAGAGAGTGAAGGAGCTGGAGGGGGGCTCTTTGACATTCCAGAAAGAGCAACCTTGCTAGGATGATGCTCTGGATAAGGCAGAGCTAGTGAGTGCTCCTCCAGCCTGGCCAGAGGAAGGAAGACATGGGTGTGGGTACAGCAGGCCTGGCAGCCAGGCCTAGAGGAAGAGGATCCAGGCAGTGGTGGGCACCATGCCACTGGGCTCCTGCAGCAGCTGTGGTTGGCTGTCTGGCTGGCTGGCTGGCCGGCTAGGAGCACCATGTTTGGTAAAACAGCAAGCAGTAGTTGGGAACACCTGCCCAGGGACACCGAAGTTATGAAGAAGGGTATCCTGCAGACCCCAGAACTTGTGCCTGGTTTCAGGTCAGAGACCCTGCCCTGAAGGCTGGACTTGTGAGGAGCTAAACACAGTGTAGACTGAGTCCTTAGGAGACCTGCACCTCTGGCTGTGGTCTGTGTCACCTGACTCCCTGCCTAAGTGGGGAGGAGGCCCAGCAGAGTAGAATGGCATACCCACTTTTAGGGTGTGCCCCCTAACTAAGCCCAGGGCCTCAGAAAACCCCAGGGCCCCAGCATTCCCTCTAATTGAAATCTGTTGATGTGAACACACTCAGACAAATCCCCAAGGCAGGGACCAGGGACAGTCTCCTGGGGGCTTGGAGTACAGGGCAGCAAGCTGTAAACAGCTTAATGAGCTAAGCCAGGGCCAAATGGGCCCAGCCTGGGTGGGATTGTCGGGTGAGATCTAGACATAGAGAATCTGACCTCTGGACCCTCAGCCAGTTGAGCTCTTGTCTTCAGAGAATGCCCCTACCAGTGCTGGTGTGTGTGTGTGTGTGTGTGTGTGTGTGTGTGTGTGTGTGTGGTGGGGGCAGCCGCCCTACACCAATACATGTCCCTTTTTACTATACCCTGGAGATTCTGCCACAGTGGAACCGAGCCCCGCAGGCTGGTCTGGCCTCCTTCCTCTTTGCCTGCTCAAATGTAGGCTTCTCTAGGAAAATCTTCCTGACCACACCACCAGGCTGACCAGACTCACCTCCTGAGTACCTAGAACACCCAGCTATAGGCCTTGTCACTTCACTGTCCTGGATCTCTCAACTGTTTTAGTGGCCCAACTGCCTCTGCCATCTCCCTGTTATTTTTCCTCATGGGCAAACCAGGCATATAGTCAGTGCTCAATAGTTGTACATTGGACACTCAGTTCCAAAGGCAGCCTGTTCAAAGGCCCCAATAGCAGCTCATCAGGACAGTAGAAAAGGGGAGCTAAGGAGTCAGTCGCCTCCCCAACCACTGGCCAGCCCTGCCCTGTGAGGCCTGGGATCAAAGCCTCCAACTCTTGTCATCATTCTGTCTCTAGGAATAGAATTTTGAGTATCTCTCTATCTTCTCTCTAACCATAGCATGGGAGTTTGGCTTCTGTGTTTCATTCTCAGATTCTCCTGACTCCTCACCATTAGAGAGAGTAAGAGCTCCAGTAAGCCCTCTGTAATATTTTGGGATGTGGCAAGTTGCTTGGATTATACAAAGATTCCCTAGGCAATGTGCCTGCTAAGGACCCCACACACACACCGCCCAGTGTTGTGTGTTGCAGGTCAGGCCTTTGTTAGGCCTCCTTCCTCGTGCTTATTGGGACAGGCAGAGGGGATGCCTGAGTCCTGTCTGTCCACTTCTTTCTGGGAGTTTCCATTGAATATGTCTGTTACTTTCCCCACCCCAGACATGCTCTGAACTGGTATAACCTCAGCACTTAGACCGTGCTAGGAAAAGCTCTTGGCAGAGCCACAAGTCAGACTCTGCTGGCCTCCCGCGCTCCCCATCTGTGTTGCCATCCTTTTGTGACTTCCGCATGGGCAACAGCTCTAGGAGGGGGCAGCCAAGCCTGGGGGCTGCTTGGAAAGAAAGAGTGGGCCAGGAGGCCAGTGAGCAGCATTTCTAAAAGTGTCTGTGGTGGGTGAGTGCCTATGTAGCATGGGGCTGAAATGCGCAGTTCTGTGGGCTGGCCAGGGATGGGAGAAACTGTCCCTTTTCCCAAGGATCTGCCAATGTGATCCTTCCTGCTGGCCAAAGCTGTATGTGGCAGCTTTAGACAGAGGTCAGTCCCAGAGGACCTAGAGGGAATCGGGACAAGGCCTTCTCAGCGTAGTTTAAAGTGAAGATCCTGATTGCACCTGCGTCCCTCCAAGACTAGCTATAAGGATTAATGAGGCAAAGTAGGTTGTGGAGTTGGGGTTGGCCCAACTCGGCCACCTTATATATGGGTGGTGGCTCTATCACCATTATCACTTGGTTTGAGCTCTGTGTTGTCCCTCAGCAGAGGCCCCCCGACCTCTTTATCCCCATCCTTTGCAGGATGGGCCCTAGGCACACTCTTGCCTCATCCTGAGCATGCCAAGGTCAAGTAAACCCATTGGCTAACCCCCTACCTTGAGACAGAGAGGCCTCCAGGAGAGTCCTCTGGTCTGTTCTCTAACCTGTCATCTGCCCAGATGTGCAGTGAACAAATGCAGTGGACAGAGAGTGAGACACAAGACAAAGACACCTGAGCAAGCATTCTGCCCCACTACACGCACACCAGCATTCAGCCCCAGGACACCTTGATTGTATCCGCATTGCCTGACTCTAAAGTCAGATAAGCCAACATAAACACTGGCTCCATCACTTATTTTCCAAGTACTGTACCCTCTTTGGGCCCAAGTTCCTCCATCTCTAAAGTGGGATAGGGTTTCTGTGAACATTGGGTAAGACAGTCTATGTGAAGTACTCAGCACACTACCTGACAGAGTAGGCACTCAGAACCAACTACCCAGTGTTACCCTCACAACCCACAGCAACTTCGTCCTGGGCTGTGACTTGGTGGTATAGTGTAGGCTTCCTGGGCTCAGGAATGGGGGTTGGGGCTGCTGCCTTTGACATGACACCACTCATACTTCCCATGGCCCTTCTGGTTTCACAGCCGAATTGTTCATAGAGCAGAGACACCTCAAGGAAGCAGGTTTCTGCATCCAGGAGGCTGCTGGCCTCTTTCCCACCTCTCACTCGGTGCTCTACATGCAAGGCCGACTGGCTGAAGTGAAGGGCAACTTAGAGAAAGCCAAGCAGCTGTACAAGGAAGCACTCACCGTGAACCCAGATGGCGTGTGCATCATGCACAGTCTGGTGAGTCACTCCTCCTGCCGCCTCCCTCTGGAGGCTTCACTCTGCCCCCATCCCTCCCACCCTGCCCAACCCTTCATACCAGCACCTTAGTGCTGCTGTTCCCAGGCATCTGAGGGAGGTGGCTTCTTGCCTGTTCTGTTGGGAAAGACATCTGTCTGTGACATTTGTCTGTGACTTGTAGGTGCAGGCTGTTCCCTACCTATCAGGGTCTGCATTGTTGAAAAAAATCTAGAATGGTTGGTTGGTATCTTATTTGACTTCCTTTATGTCATGAGATTCTGCGTGTGATCTAGTCCCAAAGAGATTTCACTGTCACTCATCAGTGCCTTACTCTAGAAGCTAGACAATCCCCAATTATGTGTATGTATGTGTTGTATCTGTGTGTGGGTATGCACATACAAGTGCAGATGTACTCAGAGGTCAGATCTTCTGGAGCTGGTGACATGGGTGCTAGAAATCGAATTTGTGTCCTCTGGAAGAGCAGTGCATATTCTTAACCACTGACCCATCTCTAATCCGCCCAAAATGCCTTTCTTATGGAAGTCCCCAGGCTGTCCCCAATCATTGGGCTGCCTCCTCCATTCCAGGGGAGCTCTATCTCCTTGATGAGACTTGGGGTGCTCTGGGGTGGGCCATGTCAGGCATGATACACATTGAGGATATCTCCTCGGGGATAAGAGGTTCCCAGTTCCTAGGGTAAGCAGCCCCAAGTTCTAGGATAGTGACTCAGGACTTGGATACTCAGGTCATAGTGACCCACCTGGGGGAAAGCTTGGAGACTGGGAAGCTATTGTCCTGGCCTAGCCACTTTCTACCTGGCTAATTATTGGCAAATCAGCCATTGTCTCTGAACCTTGATTTTGCTTATCCATCCAGTGAAGAGTCTATGGTCCAGGAAGCATTATTGTGTTCTTGCTCTGACCTGTGATAGAACAGACCCCATTTCCCCACTGCCTTCCTTAGCTACTTCCAGAGAGCAGGGGTCAGCATAGATGCAGTGGCTTGAAAGTATGTGGGTCTATAGAGGCACTAGTGAGGTCCACAGTTAGCAAGCTTTCCTCTGTTGGATTCTAGATTCCCCTTTGAGAATTGGGATAGCCCTAACATCTGCCCCATGGAGAACATAGAAGGATTCGAATGGATCTAGATGTCTGGAGGATCTTCATTGCCTGGATGGGTCTAATTTATCCCTGAGTAGAAGCTTCAGGAATTGGGTTTTAAGTTATGGAGAGTCCAGGCACATACTTGGAATCACCTGGTAAGAGAGCTGATATTCCATTCTCAGTTCTGCTGCCTGATTTCTCACTTAGGCTGTGTGAATTGTGAGCTCCAGCTAAAGAAATCCCAGACCACATCATACAGCCCTGCCCTCTTCCAGTGGTTCCTTGTCATCCTATAGTCAGATCAGTGAATGTTTGGTTTTTTGCAAGTCACGTCCTTCCTCCTGCATTTCAGACATTGGTTTCTCTGATAAATGCCTTGCCAGAAGTCACATCCAGAAAACTTGATTATGGAGGAGGATTTGGACTGGCATTAGGCCTGCGGCCGGGCAGAGATGTCTGCCTTCTGCTGCGTTCAAGGATATGAGCCTGCCATCTCAGCCTCCAAACCCTGTGCCATTTTTCATTTATGCTTATTATTGTTTGTAGCTATTTTCTTGAAACTGAAGCAGTTTCTAACCCAGGGTTTCCATGGTTACTGAATAGCTGTCCAGAGTAGCTCCCTGCAGATGTTACTGAAATAGTCCCTTTTCTTCTTCTGGGGTTCCTTGCTGAATTGATGAAATTGGAGCAAGTTAAAGCAAGGCCTGCCCGCTTTCAGTTACCAGCAACCAGAGGGGCAGTCAGCTCCTGCGTGGGTAGTCCATCCCCTTTCCACATGGCTTTGTCCCTGCCAGCATCCCACACATATGCCTAAAGAATAGCAAATTGCAAGCCTGGGGAAGATTTACTAAGCATATTTTCCTAAAGACATGTGGATTCTTTGGCATGTTGATCTCAAGTGTTCCCCCATCTAAGTGTCTTCTCTGCACTGGTCTGGGACTCAGGACATCTGGGATCCAATCCTGGCTCTGGCTTTCATTTACTTGGGTAACCTGGGAAAAAACTTAACTTCCATGTTCCCCGGTCCTCTTTTGTAAATGGATCATAATGTTTATTCCTAGATGATAGTATTTTTCTAATCAAGTGAGATAATGCACATGAAAGTCTACATTGAAATGGGAAAGACTAGGCTGGGCATGGTGGTATGCATCTTTAATCCCAGCACTATGGAGGCAGAGGTGGGAGAATCTCTGTGAGTTAAAGATTAGCCTGGTCTATATAGTGAATTCCAGGCCAGCTGGGGCTACAGGGAGACCCTGTCTCAAAAAGACCAAAAATAAATAAATAAAATAAAATAAATAAATAAATAATAGGAAAGACAATAAGACCACATACAGACCATTTGTCACTGACAGGCATTGCTAATCAATCACAGTACTCTTCCCACTGAACATAAATAGACCTTGGGATCGTTTAAAACATGATACAACATGATGGAAACCACCTCCAATAGGTCAAGTCAGCTTGATATTTATGCCAAGGATTCATTGTGAAACTCAGTAGAGAATGAAAGAGACATCATTTTGTACATTCTGATGTTGATATGTCCTTAGAGAATTATCCAAAGAAAAGAAGGTAGAGGGGAACTGGCCCCCACCATGGAGTCATTGCCAAGGTAGGATCCTAAGGTTATACAATGTCTTTGAAGCTTTACGAAGACATCACCTCTGATAGGCACAGGAGAGCCATTCTTCCCCTGTGGGAGCCCAGCCACCCACAAGCTTGGTCTGGAAGAGCTCCAGTGCCCCACCTGCAATTCTTCTGAAATCATAGGGGGAGTCCCCCTCCCTGGGGTCTGGAAAGAGGAGGGTGGGGATATTCCTAGGGTACTGTGTAGAGGCCAGGTTTGGCCCTCTAGTTATAGGGTCGGGCTGGCAAACACCAGGAAGATGAACAAAGCTCAGTAGGACCTGGGCACTCGGGGGCAGGCCACAAGCCTTTCTAAGACAGGAGCTGGTACTATGCTGCCCTGCTTTGTCGACTACCTGCCCCCCGTGCAATGGAAGAGCTTTTCCTGGTTCTAGCTCCACCCTTGGCATAGGTTAGGCCTTTACACCCCAGGAAGGCATCATCTCCTTAGAAGTTCTATGACAGAAAGAGTCACCATTGTGCCCACAGCAGAGTCCAGGTCAGATGATCCATCCAGTCCTGCAGGCAGTCACCTATGCCACATTCCATGGCTTGGAACCTTTGGGGATTGGTAAGTGCAGAAACAGGTATGCCTTCTTCATACAAATCAAGTTATAGGAGCAGTTCCTGGGAGTATCTCCAGGCAGCCTCAGCCTTCCTCCACAGCCTAAAACTGTACTCAGCTGAGATACTTGGGACTCAGTGTACTGGCAGAAGGATTTAGTGGAGAACTCTGACCTTGCCCACCCCTGCAGAACATGAGCAGGGAAATAGGGATCTTTCTAGTATCAGTGGAGGAGGGGTTCTTCTCTTCAGAGAGAACAGGCAGGGATCCCAGGCAGCAAGCCCTTGTCTTTCTGAGCCTTCCAACCGTTTTAGAACACTCTCAGCAGCACTGAACACCTCCAGTAGGAAAGGGATATAGGAGCTCAGACAGCAACCAATAGACTGGCCATGTCAGTGAAAGCCTTGCCAGGAGAGTGTTCCTTTGCTGACTACCTGAGCAGGGTGAGATGGTCCTTGATTGTTTATGAGGGCTAATACTAAAGTGCTCTATGGACTAGCCAGCTTGACTCAGTTTCCCAGCATAAGGAAGGAAAAAAAATAATTTCCCCTCTACACTTCTAAGTTCTTGCCAGCAGCCCCCACCCACCACAAAAAAGGACAGATGAGCAAAAGAAAAACAAACAGGCTGGCTGTGGTGGCACACGCCTGTAGTCCCAGGCAGGCGGATCTCAGTGAGTTCAAGGCCAGTATGGTCTACAAAGTGAGTTCCAGGACAGCTGGGGCTACAGGGAGACCCTGCTTCAAAAAAAAAAAGACAGAAAGAAAAGCAAACAATAATGTATCAGAACACACGCCCCATATGCACATGAAGATGGAAGGGGGAGGAATGGGTCAATCTCAGGTAGTTTGGCACTTCCGCCTAGACAGCATCTTCAGCAGAAAACATAATTTTATAGAGGTGACAGGACAAAGAACTAGGACCTTGACTCTCTAAGGGTCACAAATTGTGGGAAGACAAATGGGGAAATAATGGTGGATAAGGGCTCATTAGTGAAGTCTGCTATGTACATTCCTATAGTGCCATCCTGAGGCCCACAGGGGTCTAAAGTTGTCTTCTGTGACCAAGCCTCTGCCATGGTGTAGAAGGAAGAGACCTCTGTAAACGTCTTTGCTTTTAGGAAATAGGCAGAGGGCAGAGTTTGTCTTGTATTTACTTTTCAATTGCTTGTAGCTCAAAATAACCCTTTTGCCAAGGTGACATATTTTGGGATGGCATATCCCAAGCTTGGGATGGCCAAGCTCCACCAAAGAAGGCTCAAGCCCTAACTACAAATGAGCACACTTTTCCTGCTTTGGTTTGGCTAAGGGCTGTGTGGATGCTTCCTGTCTGCACCAGAGACAACTTGAGACCCTCAGCTGTGAGTGGGCCTTCATGGGCAGGCAAGGTATTTGTGGAGAACACTTGCCCTGCTTTCCCAGGGATGGGCTTCAGAGGTGTAGAGTTCATGCTTTTTTCTTGGGGATGAGCTACAAGTTCTCCTAGAACTTCCTTGGGCATCCCAGCCACAGTGGGGAACCCCACCCAGCAGCTTTGTCTCACAGTAGAATTCCCAGGAATGCAATTCTGCGGTTGTCTCTCTCTCCACATGCCCTAGAAAGGTAGGGAGACAGCAGTGTGGTCACTTCTTTCATCCTTGTTGACAGTGTGGCATCACCTCTTCTTCCTTCATTCATTCAGCAACTGCACTAGGAGACCAGAAT